TTCAATAACGATGACTGGTAAGGCAAGAAGGAATAAATTACAGTTCTAGGTAGCAGAGAAGCTTTTAAGGAATTGCCAGCTCCGGCAGAGCTGTCTCACAGATGCTTCCTCTGTCTCGGCTCTTGGCACTCTCTCCCTCCCAGGAACACTGTCCCTGTCCAAGGCTGGGCCTTGTGCTGTGCCCTTGCTATCTCCCAGTTCCTGGACTTGGCTGTATCCCTGAGGAATGTGGCTTGCCAGCAGCATCTGAATTTACACAAATTAAGAACTGGGCATCTCGGGGACACAGTCCAAAAGTGACAGTTTTAAAAAGCGTGGTGCACCCTTGTAGGCGAGAGTGAGGTGACTGGAGAGAACGGGAGTGTGTCAGATCTATAATAATTAGAAGCAGGTTGGGGCGATGCGCAGTTTGAAGGATGCAGTGGTTGAGTTCGCAGTTAACTTTCTCCTCCAGCCTGCTCTACTGCTCATCACAACGGTTCCTTTTGGACATCCTGCAAGGGTGTAAGAGGAGTCTTATTAGGGCTGACAGTTTATGGCCTATTTTGTTATATTTTAGGGTACCAAGGTGTTAGGAATACAGTATCTGTGAGGAATCTGGCATTTCACAAGTATTTTTAACGCTCCTTAACAAATCGGTTACTGACAGACATTTCCAAGAACTTGTAATGGGAGAATCTAAAAAAGCCAACTGAGGCTTGTAGGGAGAAATGAAAAGTGCACTAGAGTGAAATTTAAGGTTCTGGAGTTCGATTCCTAAGATCCCTGGTGAGTAAGAACACACAAGTTTCCTGTCATTGCTGCTAAATACTTAAAATACTACTGTATTAACTAATTTAGTCATGTGATTGATTTTCTTTATTGTAAAGGCATGTCATTCTGTGGTTTTAGAACCAAATTCCATCAAGTGCCCATAATGTGAAAGAGCTCACGTGAAAAATTAGTTTAACTAGTGTGTATTGACCAGCCTTACAGTGCCTGAGCACAGCAGGAGCCTTTGGTGTTTTCTAGGCTCCTCACTCCTGAGGGTGGTTGTCATTGTGTGGGATAATCGATTCTGGAGTGTCTGGAGAAGTGCTGTGGAATAACAACTCCAGAACTACCTAACAGGTCTCTAACATGAGCTGCGAAGCATCCGAGAGTCCAAATAATCCTAATTGCATTTCACTGTTTTCCACAGGTCTTTGAATGTGACTCTGCCGACTGGTCTGCCTGCCGGCACGTACTGCGATGTCATCTCGGGGCACAGGGACGGTGACGACTGTACAGCAACCAAAGTTCGAGTTGCTGCCGATGGCACGGCTAATTTCCTGATTAGTAACAAGGATGAAGACCCATTCATTGCAATTCACGTTGATGCTAAATTGTAACCAGATCTGTTGTGCATGTGTTGTTGCTTCTCTTCCCTGCTTTTGCTAATAGCCTACGAAGTGTCTGATTGTCTTGGCCCTCCAGCACCGAACGAACTGGGATAGAGCTTACACTAACGAAATACCAAGCAGCTGCTGTATGGAGACAGGAGCTAGTGCAGCTCTGGAAGGGGTGGTATGCGCCTGTCTGCCTGAGTAAGTGCGCTTTATTCACTTAAAATACTAATAAAGAATGAAAGGAGAATATTGAAATGACTTAATTTTAAATTGTCCTGCTCTGTGCGTAAGTGGGAATGTAGTTCTCTTTATGGGGAAGCTGGACTGGGAATTAACAGCATGTCCAAAAAGCAAGAGATGACACCTTTGTGCTGAAATGGGGTGCAATTCAAGTTGATGCCAAGTTGTAACTTGGTTGAAAATGTGTTTCTTCTGTCGGTCTGTACATTTACCATTTCCCCCATGTGCAATTCCCTGGTATTCAAGCCTGATTCCCTGTATCTGGTAAATAAATGGCAATCAGGGTGAAGAGTAATGCTTTTTCTCTTAATAACTGGTTTACAACTTTATCACCTCATCACTACTTGAAACGCAGTGGTAGGTTTTAAGGTGATGCATCACTCCATTTCCCACATCACAGAAACATGGGAGAAAATAAACAAAAAGCCCCAAACCAACACGTGGTAAAAGTTAAAACGCGGTATTTCGAAGGCAGATACATGACACAGAGCTGTAGCCCAGAGCAGCCACACTGTGGGCATCAGCTACGAGCAGGGCCCACACAAAGAGTTAGTTTATCCATCTTTTACAACAGACCAAGCTGGGGTCAGGGTCTGCAGGGGAAGCTAGGCCATGCCAACAGTTATTCCAGCCTCTGGCATCAGTCATGCCAGCAGCTTGCCTGGTTCGCAGTCAGCTTGTGCCTGTGCAAATCCGAAATCAGGTCTTCTACCATCAGCTCCAACACCTCGCTGCAAACGACTGCTTGCTGGCTGTTCCAAAGGTGTCCGAGAAGCACGCTGTATGTCTGAGGTCGCTTAGGCCTCGTGACAGTGGTGACACAGCCTATTCGTACAGAATAAGGCTCGCTTACTCTGTAACGGCTCGGAGGATTACGCAGCTGGAGCACAGACTGGGCGGCTTTCCCAACCGCCCTGTCAGCCGTGAGAAAACCTGGAGGTAACTGTGAGAGTGCTTGAAGTCTGAATGGCTGCCTGGCCAAAAGTAGTCCTTATGACCCAGTCTGGAGGGGCAAATGGGAGAGGAACGCTCGGATTTACGAGGTCAAGGTGTGCTTTTAAGGGCTGTTCCCCTTCTGTGGCGTGAGAGTGCACATGGGTGTTGGGGTGGGTATCGGCTCTCAGTGTGGCCCCAACTGACATAGCGGTTTAGCCAGCTTGTGTGTTGAGCTGAAGTCGGCATTCTCTACAACACCCACGGGCGGTCTCAACCTGGGTTATTCCCTGGGCTCTGCTTCCTTGGGGCGGTTTATTACCAGTCATGCGCTGGTAGGTCTGCATTGATCCTGCAGCAATGTGTCTCATTTCCGTGTCTAGAACCTACATCCTCCAGTTACCACAACCAGGTTTCCAACAATTCTGGGGGATCAAATGGATTAAACCACAGAATTTTAAAACACAGTCAAACCCCTTCAATATCTCATCTGCCCAAGGCTTCAACTCCCCTAAAACTTCCCTGAAACCAGAGCCAATGTCTTAGACACCTGCTGTTTCTACCAATGCCGAAAGAGATGCTGTGTCTGACCCTCACAAACTTCACTCTTGCTTTCAGGCATTTCCTCAGCATGCCAAATCCTGCAGGCTGGTCAGCCCGAGCTGCTGAACAGCCTCTCACAGTCCCCGGGCAGTGGGTTGTCCAGCCCTTGCGTAGGGCTGCCAAGGCTGGAGCCTTGCTCTCCTTACCCGACAGTGCTGTGTTCCAGCCGAAAACGCCTCTCCTTGGAAACTGAACGCTCCACAGTGACATCTGGCCACATCAGTGGAACCCTGAAGGAAACGGTGACGTAAAAATTAACCCCAGACTCATCTGGCTGCTCTCGGCAATGCTGAGGAATGGCGAGGTGTGTTCTCGCTGAGCTGGTGCAGGCGTCTCACCGGCTCCTTGCTGTCGGCAGGCAGGCAAGGTCAGCGGCAGTCATTTACGGTTTCACTGCTGTAGTGGAAAAAGAGAACTTTGATAAGGTCTGTGGTATGAAAATGAACAGGTGGGCAAATGGGACTGGCTCCTGTGGTTTGTCCTTGGAGACAAAGTCTGGGAAAGAGAAGGATGCATGTGACATTCCATGGCGTGGCTAGTTACAGAAGGAACACACTAGAGGCAGGGCAGGTACAACATAGACGAAGGTTTCTTTTCTCTTGGGGTAGAGGTGCCGTTTTGTGGACTTTCTGTTTTTCTCACAGATATTCATCAAATGTCAGAGATTTTCTGATCTCATTTTCTTTCGAGTGTTGTTGTATCATTGCCATGACTCGAGCTTATTCATGGGCCGTTGCTGCCAAGACCTTGGTCTTCTAAGTCAGTTCCAAATGAAGTCCTGAAATAATGTCATGAGCAACAGTCAGAAGGTTTTTTTGAAGGAGGAAATTGTAGGAAAAGCCAGGAGGGACTTGGGCAACAGCTCTGGCTTCCAAATTCCAAAGGTGTAGGTCAGGCAGCTAAATGTCACCTGCAGTACCACTTTACATATGATTCAGGTTTTCCTTCCTTGACTCAGATGAGTCGTTGGTCATTGAAAGTGAAGTGAAACCTTCTGCAGAATCTCTGTGGGAGAGGAAAGCCCATGCAGCCCTGGTCCCTTTCAGTCAGGTAGAGTGGGAGTTGCTTAGCATGACCATGAAGAAAACCGATAGCAGTTCCTAGCAGGGCCTGGGCAATGGTGCTAAAAAACCTTCAGGTGTGAGAAGAGTCTCAGGTCTTACCAGTGTGACCCATGATGTGCTGTGAGATACAGCTGTTACTGGCTGAGAGTCACTGATCACCAACCCTGGTCTGAGCTCGGACTAACCCTGGGAGCCAGATGCCTCTGAATGCTGGCAAACTCATTCGCTCTCCAGCACTCTTTGTTTTTCAGACTTCCAGTTGTGCTTTAATTACATCCCTTTCCCATTCCCCCCCAGAGCCCCCTTTGAGGGTCTCTGTGTTATGTTTTGGGATACTTCTGATGAGGTATCTTTGTATACATGGTTGGAAAGGTTCTGAATTTGGGTGCACTGCTCACAGACTGCTTTGATTATAATGTGTGAAAACACCGTGAAAAGGTATTTTATCTTCAGCTGTTGGGCAGTCCAGGAAAAAACAAACCAGAGGAATGATACCGAGCTAGCTAGCCAAATAATAACGGATAGCATCGATCCGTGTGAATGTTGACAGCTGCAATAGGAACTTGGTCATCTTGCAGGCATACAAATTGCCAGTAGAGAGACCACAGCCCTACATGAAGGCATCATGCACGTCCTCCTCCTGCTTGCTGCCGTAGGGGCTTGCTGGGCGCAGTACAGCCCCAACACGCTCCCCGGCAGGACGTCCATTGTGCAGCTCTTCGAGTGGCGCTGGGCCGATATTGCGCTGGAGTGTGAACGCTACCTGGCACCCAATGGGTTTGGAGGAGTGCAGGTAAGCTGTTTCCTGGAAGTAGGTAGGAAAACAGCATTGTACATTCGGCTAATAAATCAAAATGCAGAGTCTGAGACAGCCAGCTCCAAGTAACTTTGGTGTTGGAAAGGGGGGATGGAAATTGTAACTGCTGTAGGTGCAGCCCTGGAGCCTGCAGTGCCAGTCACTGCAGCTCTAGCAGATCCAAAGGGCACGCTTTCCGCTGAAATGCTGTCCCTGCAGAGCCAGGTTTTCCTCTTTACCTTGTTTGAGGGGAATGAATAAGCACTGAGTTTTGTTTTTCCAAAGGATGTGAATATTCCCGTTAAAAATCACTCCTGTGGCTCCAACCCTCCCATGCGTGTGTCCGTGAGACCAGGTCCATGGGCAACCCACGGGAGCAAAAGAAAATGTCTTTCTTGCCAGTCTACAAGCGGGACTGAACTGATGCTGTGGGAG